GGGGGGGGAGGGGGGCGCTGACTCCCTCACACACCTCGTGGTAGTGGTGGTAGTGGAGTCCCGCGGCGATGCGCCCGACCTCACGCTGGAGGGCGGATGTGATGCGCTCCTCGGGAGGCGTCTGCATGCGCACACACACACACACAAGCGGCCGTAGATGCCTTGTGATCGGAACACTGTGGTGTGTGCTGACCTTGGCCGTCCTCCATCTAATGAGGGTCTCGAGCAGCCCGTCGGGCAGATCGCCATACTCCAACGGCAAATGACCCACCCTGAATCAATCACGAAGGAAGCCAATTCACGCACGCAGGTGCAGGTGGGGATTCCTTACCTCGCTGCCATCTCGAAGACCTTGAGCTGCGTCAGGGCCACGTGGTCAAGACGGTTCTCGCGATGCACCAGCTGCACACACGACAAACACACAACAGGGCAGGGGCATCAACTGGTCAGCGTAGATAGATAGCAGCAGTGTTTTGGGTGACCTGTTTGGTGAGCTGCATGTAGAGGTCAGGCTGGCCGAGGGAGAAGTACGTCAGGGCGAACAGCAGATTGATGAGCGTCTTGGTGCGACACGATTGCCACACACCAACTGCACACACAGACACACACACACACACAGAGAGAGAGAGAGAGAGACCAAGAAACACCAGACAGATAGCAGTGGAGAACCCGCCCAACAGGCAAGGCACGCCCTTTTGCCTCACTCACCAGGCACGCTCTCCACCGTGTTCATGAGCATGGCCACCACCCTCTCCTCCCACACATCCAGCCGACACATCTCATACAACACCTGTACGCTCTCACCGACCGCATCGCCACTCGGCTCATGCTGCAGAGACCCCTCGAGCAGCCCCAGCAGCGGCCGCAGCACATCCGTCGGGCGGATGCGAAGCCGTCCGAAGGCCTGAAGCAGCTGCAGACACCGGGCAGTGGACAAGTGGGAGGCGGCCAGCCTGCCGCCAGACAGAGACAAAAGGGTCGGCCGGTGGGGTGACTGATGGTGGCTCTCTCTGGGCTGATTTACTTGTGGGGGAGCAGTTCGATGGCTGCCTGAATGATGTCGTCGTGGTGTATCTCCGCCGCGCCGAAGTGGTGCACCATTTCGATCATCTCATCGGCACTCAAGTCCTGCACATACTGCGTCACCTCGCACACAAAGGAACGATAGATACCATGTCTGCTCTCCTTCCCGCCATATATCACCGGCACGCGCCTACGTAGAGCATTCTTCTGCCAACGGCCTTGAAGAGCATGTGGAAGCTCTGCTTGAGAGTGGCGTAGCTCCCCAGGACGTCGATCCAATCTCCCCCTCTCAGCCGATCCGACTCCGGCACACGCACCCTCGTCTTGCCCTGGTGGCTCTCGTCGTCACTGCTGCTGTCGGGCGGAGCGCCCTCCAAGTACGGCTGCAGCTGGTTGCCTAAATGAACCGCATCCACAGAGATTGGTTCTGCCAGTGTTGTGTGTGCATGTGTGTGTCTTGACCGACCAATGACAGTGAGTAGGGGTCCGTGTGCGAACTGCAGGGCCGCCAGGTCCCTGAGTATCTGTACAATGGCCCTGGCGGGCAGCACGGAAAGGGTCGGCTTGTGAGCCAGGTTGTGACACAGGCCGCGTAGACACGCATCGATCCGATAGTCTGATAAACAAGTAACCACACACACAGACAGACAGGGAGAGAGAGATGCGGATTCACCTCTGCCTGCCTGCCTGCCTGCCTGAGTGCCTGCCTGCCTGCCCTTCTGCTCGCTCACTTTCTTTTGTATCGACATTGAACATGGCCATCGTGCGCAGGGCCCGAATAAGGTCGTCGGCCTTCATCCGGTGCCGCTTGCACCACTCCGTCACCTTGACAGCATACGCCTCCACAAACGCCCCATGCACATAAGGCAGACTCGCCAGCGCCTCAGCCGCGTCAACCAGGCTCTTGGGCGAGGTGAAGTGGTACAGACGCGCTATCATGTGCTCCGTCACATACGACACGAAGTCGATGGTGCCGCCTTTTCTGGCCGGCAGCGTCATGACCTGGCTGTGTGCGGGGCTGGGAGGGTACTTGTGGTAGGCTGCAATGACCACGAGGTAGTCGGACGGATGGAAGGCCGGCATGTGGGAGAGAATGAAGGGCACGAAGTCGACAGGGGCGGTGTTTGCCGCTTTGCCACCCGGATCTTCTGCACCCATCTCTCGCTCAACGAGGAACTTCCTGAGCCGCTCGATGACTGATCGTGGCGTCATTTCACTCATCGCCGCCTCAGTTGCCAGCCTCTCCTTCTGCGCCTGTGACACCACACGCATCTTCTTTGGTGCTGCTGCAGCAGTTGAGAGCCGCCTCGATGCATGGCGAAGCGGCAGATGAGCGGTTGAAAGCCACGAGTCCATTCCGTGAGGCGGGTCAGTCGGAGCGGCCGAAACAGCAGCTGATGGACGTCGTGCTCACGAAATCTCTACAGATCTCATGCTGATGGATGTTGGCGCTTCTGATCTTCACCGAAACAGTTTGAGTCTGTCCACCATAATTCGTTTCACAGGCACGCTACACTAACGCAAATGAACAGTCAAGCTGCAGCTTGCAGCCGTAACGCATGGAGCGGCAACGGAAGAGAGCGGCCACGCCAGAGGCGAGCAGCCGGGTGAAGTTGTCACAACTTGCCTCACCTACCTGCAGATCTTCGCGTCCTTTCTCTTCTTCGACACGAAAGGAACGATGACGGCCCGTGTGCTCGGTGCTGTTCTGCTTGTCGCTCTCGCTGGCGTCGCCACCTGCGACTTCGTCCGCAAACTTGCACCTCGTGAGTGGCAAGCCAATCACATGGAGTGACTCATGGGTCTTTGCTTATGGGCTCCGTGTCTGCTTGTCGTGGTGCGTGTCTGTGCCTTCACCCATGGCTGCAGGTGATGAGCCTGCATCGGTCTGCCCAGATCCCGTGTATCGTACCACAATCCTCGACGTGAAGAACCTCAACCTCAATGACATCTTCGAGAGTACGGCAAACAGTGTCGTCAACGCCACCCTCCCTGCGGGCAAGTGGAAGCCAAAGGTACGCACTCACATATACGCACACGGCCGTGTGTCCGTGCATGGCCGGCGGGATGCACACGACGCATGTTGAATCGAGTCAGTCGAGCGTCTGTGTCGTGTGTCATAACGTCTCAGGGTGAGGTCGCACAGACGAGGGGTCCGTCGTCCTGCAGGCGTTCTCGCGATGACGATGATAACGATGATAATGATGACGATGATGATAATGACGATAATGGTGGTGGGATCATAGGGGATCCCATTATGGTGAATTGCTTCGGATGGTAGGCGCTTGGTCGACCCGGGCTGTTGAGATGCCCGCCTTCAATTCGACGCACATCCACATGCTGTGTGTGACATGGCCTGCTCTCCTCTTTCAGTTGGTGCTATGACGAAGCCAATTGGCTGTGTGTCGAGCCGTGCATCGAGGTCGAGGGTCCCAGAATTTCGTGCACAGTGCGCTGGTGCACCCCAAAATGATTCTGAATGCACGCAATTCCGAGTACAGATGGATGAGGCCGCTGGGGGTCATGTACGGTCAGTTTTTCGGTGCATACGGTGTGTGTTGTCGTGCAGTCATATGTGCGTCCTTGCCTGTCTTCCTGACTGTCACTCATGCCGTGAATGCTGGTGCTATTCTTCAAGTGGAGATCGGCCGACTGACGAGGGTATTTTTCGTCGCATCGAAGGAGTGCCCTGTGTGTTGTGTTTCGTCATGTGTGTGGTGCGGATGCCTGTCAGCGACTCGGCCCATGTCAGTCACTGTAACTGAGTGCCTCAGTGGCTGGCTGACCGACTGTCCTTGGTGTGCATCATGCAGACGGTAGGTAGATATCCATCTGTCTATATCTCGAACGAGTAGGTCTGATGCACACATGACAATGATGACATGTGCGGCAGGCATCTAGGTATCGAAATTAGAGATGTCTTGTGCGGGGCGGGATGGACTGACCGTGGGTGGGTGGGGCGCTGCTGCACCTGATTGAGCAGCCACGTAGACGTGTGTGAGGGGGACAGAGACACAGAGATGGTTGGTTGCGTCGGACAAGCGAATGAGACCAGTCGTAAGATTGACGGAAGTCAATCGTCACGTCAGCCATCCATGCGCGCGTGATCTCTTTTGCGTGAAAATCGAGTGCCACAGCCGACCGACCCGACCTTGTTTTCTCGCTTTGCTTCTTGGCCGTGGAGGCCCGGTACTGACTGTTAATCCACACGCCCGACGGCGACTCTCGCACAGAAAATTCACTCAGTCACGAAGGCTGTTGTCTCACGGATGGGCATACACTGTGTATCCCCCACCACCAACACGAAGGAGCAGGTGAGCCACACACATCTGACCGGTCCCTCGTGCAGACAGACGGTGGATGGGTACACGTAGTCTGTACGCAGCATCACCGGCCCACGATTGCAACACACGAGGAGCAGCCAGCCAGCCAGCAGCAACCGAACCGCACCGACCCCATGAGGGCAGCAAACAGCCCACGCACCGCACACCAGAACCACCGCCAACACACAAGGAGGCAGGGAGGCATACAGGCAGCCCGACAAAGGTGGGCAGCCATGCAGCCAGCCAGCCGGCCAGCCACTCATCCGTGTTGGCGGATCAGATCACTCGTCGCGCTGTGCCTTCTCCTCCTGTGACTTCTTGAGTTCGTCCTGCTTCTTGGCCTTCTTCTCCTTGGCTGCGGCGGCCTTGGCCTTGCGGGCGGCCTGCTGCTCCTCCAACAACTTGGCCTTGGCCTTCTCGTTCTTGGCCTGCATTCAAAGATGACCACACACAGATCAGGGTCGTGCTTGTGGTTGTGGGCATGGTGTGTGGCGTGCGGTGGTTCTCAGTCAGTCGGTCACGCACCTTGTGGATGGCCTCGATGAGCACCCGCTTGTTCTTGAACTGGTTACCCTTCGACGCGGCGTAAAAATGGCGGTAGCTGAAACATAACAGTCACACAAGACACAACAAGACACAGGAATGGTGTGTGAGTCTTGTTCTGTGGGCAAGCACGATGACTGACGTACATGTGCTTGTCGATTTTCTTGGCGTCGCGGTACTTGCGGAGGAGCCGGCGGAGCACGCGCTGGCGTCGCATCCACAAGACCTTCTGGGGCATTCGGGCGTCGCGAGTACCCTCACGCTTGCCTAACACACACACACACACACACACACACACACATACACACCAGATGGACACACACGGCAGACGGTGTGCACATTGTGTGAGTGAGAGTGTGTGTGTGTGTCATAGGCACCGGTGCCGGTGTGTCGTCCCTTGCGCTTGGCCTCGTGGAGGCGTCGCACGCGGGCGCGCGAGTGCATAGCCACGGGCTTGCGGATGATCAAACCATCCTCCTTCAACTTGCGGATGTTGAAACCTGTGCCGTGCCAGCACACAACACATGCACAAGGTGCACAAACGACGTGTATTGTGTGCACCTCTGTCTGTTTGCTGCCTCTGAAACCCTCCCTCCCTCCCCCCCTGCAGTTACTTACGTGAGTTGGCCATGGAGATTTCATTGGTCTCGTTGGGGTCGAGCCAAATGCGGCCCTTGCCGCACTTCAGCACCGACGCCGCCAACCGCTTCTGAAGACGGAGCGACTGATGACACACACACGCACACACACACGGACGCACACACACCACACAAAACACCACAAGGCAGGACACAGTGAGACGTTCTCGTGCTGCAGCCGGTTCCACTACCCCTGCCTCCCGCCTGGCTGTGGCTGTGGCTGTGGACGGCTGACACTGTGCTCCTGCTCCTTCCTCCTGACTCTCTGGCTGGCTGCATCTGGCCTCTGCCTGCCTCACTGACGCCCTCCCGTGCACCCACAGCCTCACACGCGCCGTGTGGCCCTGTCTGTCTGCTTCTTGCCAGATGACCCTTCCCTCATGTATCTGTGGCGGCTTACCATCTTGGCGATGCCCTGCTTCTCCTTCTCGGCGCTGCGGAAACGGTGCGAGCTCAACAAAGAGGAAATATAAGCTCGCAGACAACCGCTCCGCCCTTTCCCTCTCTTTTTGCAGCCTCTCTCTGTCCTGCTTTGCAGCCGCAACTGCATCTTTCCTGCGCTGCTGTCTGTCGCGTGATCACATCGTCATGGGCCCTCGCAAGCCATGGGTTGGCGGCAACTGGAAGTGCAACGGCACCAAGGCGTCGATAGAGGCCCTCTGTGAGACACTCAACAAGGCCGAATTCAACCCCGAGCAGATCGGTGCGCCAAAGGGCAGAGATCTGTGGGTGGGTGGGTGTGCTGTGCTGGAGTGGTGGGGGTGGTGCATGCCTGCCGTCCCGCTGCATTGCTGGGGGTGTGGTGTGTTGGTGCAGATGTGGTGATAGCTCCCGTGTCGCTCCACATCCACATGGTCAAGGAGAAGCTCAAGGCTGGCTTCAAGGTCTGCACCCAGAACGTGTCCAAGACCGGCATGGGCGCATACACCGGAGAGATCGCGTACGGGCGCATTCACACGGCGAGGGAGAGAGAGAGAGAGAGCCCAGCTGTCTGTCTGTATGCCCTCTTTCATCCTTCATTCTCCGTGTGTGTGCGTGTGTGTGTGTGTGTTTGTCTTGGTTGGTTGGTTGGGGCAGTGTGGATCATATCAAGGATTTCGGTCTCGAATGGACGCTCATCGGCCACTCGGAGCGACGACAGTACTACGGCGAGACAGACGAGGTGGGAAACACCGCCGCAACGTCATGATGGAGTGCAAACTCTGCTGGTGTCCGTGTGTGTGTGTAGGTCGTCGCTGACAAAGTGGACATCTGTCAGAAGGCGGGCCTCTGCACGGCGGTGAGCATAAGGATAACCCTGCCCGCCTGTGTGTGTGCGCGTGCCTCCGTCAGTGCACTATATACGGTGTGTATGTGTGTGGCTTGCTTGGTGTCCTTCCTGCAGGTGTGCATTGGCGAGATGCTCGACGAGCGCAAGGCCGGCAAGACCACCGACGTCGTCAAGAAGCAAATCGAGGCCTTCATCCGTACGCACACACGCAGCCGCCTGACACACCTAACTGCACGTGTATGTGGATGTGTGTGTGTGTGTGTGTTGGCGGTTCACTCCCTGACATCACAGCCAAGGTGACTGACTGGTCGAAGATCATGATAGCCTACGAGCCGGTGTGGGCCATCGGCACGGGAGTGGTCGCCACGCCCGAACAGGCGCAGGAGACCCATGCGGTCAGTCAGTGAGTGAGACCACCAGTTACCGCGACGGGTGTGTGTTGATATCTTCCTCCCTCCATCCCTCCTCCCTCCCTCTCGCATCGGTCCGATCGTTGGTCTGTCAGGCCATCCGCAAGATTTTGAAGGAGAAGGTGTCTGCTGAGGTAGCCGAGTCGACCCGCATCGCATACGGAGGTCAGTACATCCACAGCTGTGATGGATGTGCCACACCGCACCGGCTCACACAGCCCAGCCAATCACACCACACCACACACGGCTTGGCTTCTCCCCACATATATATCTCTGTGTGCGTCACGTCATGGCGTGTCGTGCAGGTAGTGTGAGTGACAGCAACTGCAACACGCTCATCGGCCTCGAGGACGTCGACGGATTCCTGGTCAGTCAGTCTGTGTGTGCGTATGTCAGCCAGTGGCCGGCAGAAACACCTCTCACCTGCATGTCTTGTGCTGTGCTGTGCTGCTGCTGGTGTGTGTGTGTGTGTGTGTGTGTGTGTGTGTCAGGTCGGCGGCGCCTCCCTCAAGCCGGCGTTCCTCGACATCATCAAGTCCGCACTCTGAAGAGGAGATTGACATAGATCGCTGACACGGCAGAAAGAGGACAGGATTCGATTCATTTCTCGACCCATCTCACCTCACCCGTCAGTCAGTCACCCCTCCACAGTTTTCGTCGTATGATTCCATCGTAGCAAGCACCGTTGGCACATATGAGATACACCGCCCCATGTGTGTGGCTGGCTGTCGGCTGCCCGACTCACTGACTCACTCACTGACTCACTGACTGACCGCTCTACATATCTATCACGATCGATGTGATGGCATGGCTGCCTCAGGACGTCAGGGAGGGGCAGACAGGACAGGAGGCCACAGAACGGAGAGAGAGGGGCGAGAAGGGTGGACGGTGCGGTGCGCTGTGTTGTGTCGTTTGGTGTTCCATGTTTGACAGATGGGATGGAATGGCATGCTGCACGGCCGCTGAGTTTTGTTGTCTGTCTGTGAGTGGGTGTTGCCTGATTGATTGAATGCCCCCGTCTGTCACGTCACGTCACGTCGTGTGGCAGATTTTTCTTCTCGTTGTGGTGGAGTGTGGTGTGGTGTGGTCGATTGCATTGCACCAGCTGGTGGCAGCCAGAGATATGCAGATGGGACGTCAGTCACGTCGGGCGATATGTGCGATGATCGATGCACTGAGTGAGTGAGTGAGACATCTCGATGATGGGTGAAGGAATGACTGATCAATGAAGGGCGTACCGACCCATAACCGACCATACACACACACTGCAGTCAGTCACACTCATGCGCACACCACACCACACCAAACTACACCAGGCCGCCGAAAACTACAGGGTGTTCGTTCAGGTGCACATTTTGGGCGTTTCAAAGAAGGCAGGCGAAACTTTGGCTCTGTGGATGTGTGTCAGGGTTGCGTGGCTGAATGAATGAAGGACTGTCACTCTTAACAACGGGCAGCCGGTCAGTCGAGTATCCAACACTCACAATCATCATGTCGCAGCTCACACACGCTCCTGCCAATTACAGGAACGGCAAGAGTGCAATCAATCAACCTAGGATGGGGTGGCTCACATGGCCACACACCAACGACTCTCACACAGCCATGTCATGTCCCACACACGCACCAGGCAATCACGTAGAGAAGAAGACACTCGCGCGCACACACATCCACGTGGTCAACGTACCTCCCTAAGGAACCCTTCTCCCCCCCAATCTGCCTCAGACGTAAAAAATGCCAGCAGTCTCATATCCTTCAGACGGCCCCACCTCTCTCCCTCCCCCTCCCTCCCTCTGTCTCCCTTACTCCCTCTGCCACTCACTGGGCGGCCGTCTCTCCCTTGTGTTGGTATCTATAATGCTTCGCCTCCATCGCCCGGCGATGTCCAATGGCGGCCTGCTTGGCACCCTCATAGCCCAACTCAGCGATTGAGAAGGGCTTCGTCTTCTCTTTGCCGCTCTCCTGCCGGCCTTCCAGCAATTCTTCCTTTTGTCGTGAAAGACGCCCTTGACGCCGCTCCGGTGCTTTGATAGCTTCCTCACCGACGCACAGCCAGCGCTCTCCATCTCACGACGGTGCTGCTCGGCCAACGCCTGACGGACGGATGCACAAGAGAGAGACTCAGGGGGAGAGGGAACGGGCGGCGTTGTGCGCACCTTGGCTGTGTCGAAGCCATGGTCTCTGACGGAGAAGTACTTGATCTTCTCCTTCGAGCCGCCCTTTTCGCACCACGATGCCATCCAGGCCTGGTTCTTCTCATGCCAGCGAACACCCGCCACGTTAGACTGATGCTCTGCAGTTGGTACCACACATAATCAATCGGTTGCAGCGGTGTGTTGGATTTGCCTCTTGGTCTCCTCACCGGATTTGGTGATGACGGTCTTCCCCTTGCTGCCGGCCTTGCTGTCGGTGTCGGCGGCCCACTGGGGGCCAGACATACAGATGGACGACCACACATCACCGGCGGACACCGACGCACCATCCCTCTTGGCCGCCTTGGGCCTCCGGCGTGGCTGGGGAGACGGTGAGCGGCTGCCGTCATCATGATCATTATGGCTCTCACTTCCACCCTGATCAGACTGGCGGGCGGCCCAAGCCACGATGCTCCTCTGCCGGGCACGTCGGTCCAGTGTCGCGTCTCCTTCTCGACTCATACGGGGGCG